TTCAACAAGTGAGAGTCCACGCACACAAACTGTTTTTCTGTGCAATAGGCAAAATCCTCCCACCATTAAAAAAACCCAGCCCTGGACTGATATTGCACAGCCGAATTGGATTCTCAATACATGGAGCTGGTTTTGGCAGTCAGCCGCCATAAAGGTCCCCATGCTGAAATACTACAAAATAGTATTCTATCTTTTCTGCTGCTTGCTGTGTTTCTTATCACCTCTGCCTGTCATCACTGATAACATGCAGGTATCAGTGCACCCTGTGTTCTTCATTTCAGCAGGAACAGCTTCTTCCCTGTCCATCTACCTGAATTTGTTATTTGGATGTGCCCCTTTTTGTGGAATCGAGACTCCCCTGTTATGTTCTGCTCTGATGTCTATGTACATGATCACCTTTAAGTGTTTGCATTTTTTTATACGTTTTGACACAGCCCGATTTGCATTTTTAGATAACAAGCATGCAGATAGTTTGTTTTATTTTCATTCTATGCAATTAAAACATTCTGATAATTAAAAGAAACAGCATGAGCAGTGCAGTAATGTGCACCTACAACAGCCCAGGTGCTGCCAAAAATATTGATGTACATTATTAGCATGATTCTCAAAGCATGAGAATAGCTGTGGTTTGTTTCTTAAGGGATTGTTTCTGCTTTTGTTATTATAATTTGTAGGCTCCCAGTCCCACACTGGGTGAAGCGCATCCAAATGCTAATACGAAATATACTATAATGTAATAATCACAGCATGATGTTGTTATGCATGGATGAATGAGATAGTTAAGCATTTGTCTTATGGACTGGATGATTCAAACCTTGTGTCTTCTTTAAATGATAAATTCATTAGAATGAAAAAAAACATATTTTCTTAAGAAACTAAGAAAATCACATTTGTAATGCATATGTAGCATTCTAACATAGCAATCTATTTTCTACAGTAAGGTGCAACACTCTATTTCTGCTGGCTTATTTGTTATGCTTTCTCTAATTTATTACTAATTCAGAACAGGAACTTGTTTTTGATTTTCAACCCTGACAAAGTCGCTAGTCTACAGTCCATCCAGTCAATATCACACTTCTACTAAAGCAGAAGCAAGCCGTAAACCACATTTTCATCAACGTGTGAGAGGAAACAAAGTAGAAAACTGAACCACTCTCTTCTCAAATAAAGTATGGATGAGCTGTGTGAGACCATTTGTGCCCTCTCTCTGTCAATACCTAATTTATTTTCTGCTGTCTCAGTAAAGAAAGATACATGTTTAAAATATTGTAATTGTTGCCTTGTTGCCATGATTCCAGAGTAATTAGATCTATAGATATATATATATATATACAGTGTATACCCACTTTACTCTTAAAAACACTGCAAGGGATCAAACCAGCAACTTTCTGGTAATTAGTCGTCCTCTATCGCTACTTCTGGTCTCCAGTGTAGACTTTACACACTTTGTACATACAACCATTCACTCTGAAGAGGTTTTCAGGGGTATAATATCATGCTAGTTATACAGTTGCTACTGAGTGTAAACAAACACATTTTAATAAACAACCAATGCAATGTCATTTTCTGGAGAGGAAGATGTAAAAATTGGTTGCTAAAGTGTTATACAAGGATACTGTTGAACTTTGCAGTCGCCTCGCATTAACTTACTGTATTTTCTAACCCAGAACTAGTGTTTTAACAATGCACTATGTACAGTGAATGAAATATTGTGCAAGTCATCAATGCTACCTTAAAAATGCTTTTTATATGTTTGTGAGGAGAGAGGTCAGATCCTCAAAAGTTAAAAACTACTTCTCCTCTCAGTCATTGAAGTAATTGGCTATTAGTGATTAACTAGATGCGGTCACTATTTCAACCAAATACACTCGTTTATTTATGTCAGTTCTATCTATAAAAGTGACCTACTGCAGTTTTAATGTGATAATTACTTTAACTTTGCTTTGGCGACATGTTTATTACAGTACAGATGCTCTGGTGGATTGTACTCAGTACTGTCATATTGCCTGTCCTATTCCAAAGGCAGTTGTAACATGAAATGTTGAGGTAACAGCAGTGTAAAGCCTTTCGAACCCCATAAATCTGTTGCGTAAATGTAGCTTTCTCAATATGCAGTTCCCTGTAAATATCTTACATTTACATTTATTCATTTAGCTGACGCTTTTATCCAAAGCGACTTACAATTGCTATTTATGTCAGAGGTTGCACGCTTCTGGAGCAAAGGCATGCATTTTTATCCACTGTGCTATCACCACCACCACCTTATGGTGTTGTTATAACACACATGCTATAGAAATGAAGTTACATAGATGCATATATTTACCATTAACTTGGTTTGCTGTTTGTGAATTGTCCCTCTTGGGAAATGAAACTTCACAACTAAAACATGGACCACTTTACCACATTTCAGCCACTGAAGGGAAAACTTGTGAGGGGACACAGTGACATTTCTAAGCTGATGAACACCTGAACACACTGTTAGTTAAGAGCTGGATGCTTGGGGTGTAAAATCATAATGAATCTTCTGGAGACTATCATGCAGGTTCAGCCCACTTCCCCTCAGCCCTCTGAAGGCTAAACCTGTCATAAGTCATGTCCTTGGATGAAGGCAACCTCTGAATTGGGACACACCTGGTGGACATTCTGTCATAATTAAAGCACTCAGTGTGACAGTGGCTTGTTAAATTATGTCTAAATTTGCTCTAAACTAAATAGTCCTGCCTTACTGGTGTTTAGAACTCATTCTCATTTAAGAGCTTTGTTTAACTAGGTGGAGGATGAATTATCAATTGGGGTGGTGATGGGACAGTGGATAAGATGCATGGCTTTGGTGTGGGAGACCCAGTTTCAACTCACCAATGTGTCCCTGAGCAAGACACTTAACCCCTCGTTGCTCCAGAGGCATGTGACTTCGGACATAAATAGCAATTGTAAGTCGCTTTGGATAAAAGCGTCAGCTAAATGAATAAATGTAAATGTAATTCTATGGTATCAACTACTCCCTTTGGTATTATGTACCACTGAACTAAAACCGTTCAAATCACAACCAGCTTCACTTAGAGAACCCCACAAAATAAAACAGGTAACCAAAGAGTGTGGTGGCACCTTTCTCCACAAACAACAGAACCACAGCATGAGCCAAAAAAAGAATCTATAGTTTAAAAATGAGTTCCCTCCTATGTACAGCAACAGCGGACGAGGCAAGAAGAGGAGGAGAGGAGGATGTGGGTAAACCAAGGGAGCAGTACATGAAGGTAGATAAGACGAAGACAGCGATGAGTGGTGAGTAGATGTTTCCCTTCAGGGCTGAGCTATGTAGATCAGAGCCCCTGGGAGTGAGTGGTGTGAACGGCTGGAGCTTTCCCCACAACACAATGCAGCAAGAAACAGAGAAAATGGGGGTCAAAGGTCACAGGCAGATCATGTCATCTAATGCCTGGAATTGCATTCTTGCCATGTGACATCATGCTCTTCACTCTTTAGTAGATTAATTAAACGTTTTTTTTCTCAAAAATAATCATCTTAATTGCTGTTAAGCTGTTCATATGAGGCAGGTGAAGTGTGCTTCACATATTGCACAGACGTCACATGTATCATATCACTTATAAACTATTTGAAAAGAAGCTAAGGTAAATTCAAGTGGGACTTAAAGGTGCTGCATATACACAGATGGTGGGGGTGGGTCACATGTAGTCCAGGAGAGCCAGAGTCTCTAACATCACTCTGGCTATATTTTGGCAAATCTGAACATGTGAGATCACATTAGCATTTTAAGCTACCGTCTGCCTCTATGAAACAAAACATATGCATGATCACTCAGGCTTGATTAGGATCATCTGCAAGGGGATTTTTGTAATGCCCACACAGCCCAAGCCATGACTAACATCTGTATTAGTAACTCTGAGATACTTCTCACCCCATCAAAGCCTGGTCCGACTGTACCTATGGGTGTGAGGGTGATGGGGTTATGTCATTAAAGACTATCCCAGGGCCACACGGCAGCATCCAAAGGGCTTTCTACCTCATTTTTGGTGGGACAAGTCCTTGGAGCGCGCATGCACGCGCGCAAACACACACACACACACACATATACCGCATTCATCCAGTTTTATATGGTGATGGTGCCTCCGCAGCGGCCGACGGGCGCAACTTTCCTCCTCCCCCTCCTCCTCCTCCTCCTCCTCCTTCTGGATCGGACAGAGGATAGAGAGACTCCATTCACCATGCACACGCAGACATGCACATACCCTCGCACCTTTCTTTTCAGTCCTCCTCCATCCTGACCCCCAGCAATCAGCCCGGGAGGAGGTTTACGTTAATGACTATTTTAATAAATCTAATTCCGCCATCAGGATCCAAAATCTACTAATTAAGATTGTTAATTTCGAGTAAGAACGAATAAAATCGATTTTTCATTCCTTACTAGAAGACCATGCTGAACAGTGGCAGTTTAAGATTTACATGAGCACTCACAGTCTGCAGGTGGTCAAGGATGGACCGACGGATATTGAATTTGTTGTTGTGTTGTGCATTTCTACAACAGACTATTACTTCTGAGAACAAATTCCCCGTTCAGCCATTTCAGCCAAAGCCTTATTTTCGAACCCGGCAATTTTGCGCAGCTTGCTGGGAGAAAGTGCGCAGCTCTGTGCGCCCATGCGCTTGGAACAGAGTGAGAGCCAGACGCAGAAGCAAAGGAGATGTAGCTTTGTGATGTGCAAGGGGGATGTTTCCAACAGCCTCCCCAATGCAGTTCCTCTCATCCCTAACCCCTTCCACTAAGCAGAAATAACGTCATGTGGAGAAAAAAGGCATTCAGTATCTCACCATCCACTTGAACTTGTCATCCACCACCTCTTTTGGATAATTATGCCGAGTAATTCATGAACTAAGAAAATCAGCCCACTGCATCTCAGTTGCTTGGTCCAAACGGTAAAGTCTCAGAATTTCTTAATGCCTAAAGGGAGCTTGCAGAATTTTAAGTGTGAATGTGTATTTACCGTTCAGGAAGGATCCCATCCGCTGCTTTTTTCTACCTCAGACAATATTCCTCTGTGCGTTCCGTCCCGTTAGGATAAGGTGCATTCCTTTCAAAAGCCACATAGACTCCCCAAAAATCCCCACACTCAAGCGTTGGAAATGAGCCTGAGAAATAAGACTGGCGCACTGTTCACTCTAAAAGGTAGAAACTCAGGCTAAATGCGGTCAAACATTTACACACGCGCGGAAACAAATTAAGGAAACCTTTTTAGTCCAAAAACAAGTCCGCGGTTAATCCAAAATGTTTTTTGTTCAAAACTATAATTAGAATGACATTCTCCTTGACAGCAAAATGCTCCGGGTCTTTGACGCGCACCGGTCTACATGTTAATGACGGTGATGCTGGAGAAAAGGAAACAAGAGTGGGATTTTTCCCCCCATCGTCCGCTCCTCACGATTCAGGCTGCACTTGGCTGATAAACACCGTCCTCTGTCTCTGCTCTCTCCTCCCCTCCTCCCCCTCTTCCTCCTCTCCTCCAGCTCTCAGGCTCTCTCGGCAGCTTTCGTGGAGCAGAGACGCGCCTAGCGGCCTTGGAAGGAACAGCCACGAGTTCATCCCCACCCCGCCCCCACCACAGCCTGCTCTTAAAGATACACGGGAATGTGAGACTTTTTAATCCATGTGTGCCTGTCAGGGGAAACATGATGATTAATGTAAGATTGAAATTGAAATTACAAGTTAATATAAATATTATAGAGAAAAGTACACAGTATGGTGTTACAAAAAAAAATATGAGGTATAAAAATATATATAATTTGACAAAAAATAATCCTGTAACAGTATGAAATAAAGTATTTTTTAAATATGTTGTTGATAATAATGATTAGGGTAACTACTAGTAGATAGATAACTAGTTACAGTTACTGTGGAAAAGATACTCATGAAAATGTTTATGATGACGTTGGGGGTTACATCTGAATATTTTCAGTAAAAAGCTAGTCTATAGGCCTATGTTTAATAATATTCATTGTGTTGCTTTGCATGTTTTTTATGTGCACAATGTCATTGGCATGTCAATGCCATTTCCAGCCGCAGCCGTTAGTTAGTAAAGTTTGATGCTGTTCTGATGCTTTTGATTGGTTCCACTGTTTGAATTTGCAGTGCCACCTCTTTACTTTGATAAAGTAATTGAAATAGTTGCACTACTAATAGTTCACTAATAGTACAGTAGTAGTATTAATAGTACACTATAAAATAGGGTAACATGTAATCAGTAACCATGTTTCCAGAGCAACCTTCCCAACACTGGCTATATAGTAGACAGAAATAGCAATATGTAGTATGATCAGTATGTATGATGGTAAAAGATTGGTATTGACAATGGGTATATCTGATAATATCAGTCTGAAATTTATGTAATAGGGTAATAAGGAGTCAAACACAAAGGGGAATAATGGGAAAATACATTTCAGTGAGGTAAAACTATTTAGTAATATTAAAGTAATATTTTAGTAACAACACGAAAACCTTGTAACAATAAAATTATTCTATCAGTGCAATATGTTGATTAGAAATACTTATATAGAGACATTAATGGGGTAATAACTTGATAATAATGAGGTAATATAGTTTGATGTTTTCACAATGTCAACATTATACTGTCTCAAAACCTGACCACCTTATGGTGCATTTTCTTCCTTAAGCTAGTTACTTCACTTTTAACAGTATGTACAATATGTGTTTGTATATAGTGTTTTTGAACTCAGTAGCGACGTTAGCTAGTCAGTCAGTGTAGTACCAATGTAAGCCAGATTTTCACAGATTAGCTAACTAATGTTAGGTTGCTAGGGCTGTTTTTTACACTGCATTTGAAAGAATTGCCAGAAATGTTGCTGACGGTTATATAAGACACTGAGGTGATTATCAGAATGGTCAAAAACTTTATATACAAAAATAAATGATAAATCCTATTGATAAGTACTAACATGTATAATGCTAGCTGTGAAGAGTGGACGGTAAAGTTAATGTAGAGCTGACAGGAAGTAAACAGACATGCAGTTTGTAAATCGGATATACGTCGCTACATTGTACAAGTAAAGAATGTTACCATCAAATTAAATAGGTAATTAAACGTATCATTTGGACAGTGTCACCTTCAAACAAAAGGTGATTTTTGAAACATAAGGGGGGAGATCAGCATTTTAATATGGTAATTGGGTCAAAGATGTATAAGGTTTTCAAAGTAGCAAAAAATTAAAAACAGCAATTACATTTCCATTAAAATCTTTTTTATGATCATTTGAGTGTCACCTACGCCCTCATATTAGTTACATTCAGACAACTTGCATGCTTGTTATGTGAATGATGTGAATTTACACTGGTAAAATGTCATTCAGTAACACTAATTTGATGCTCCATGGGTACAACTCAAAATATGTAGTTTTTTACAATTATTTAGTCTGAAAGAAATGCAAAAATCAATGAAAAGTATCTTTCACCCACTCCATCCTTTAAGATTTGTTTTCATCTCTCTGACATTAACTATTAGTGGCAACAATAGAATTTTTATTTACGCTATTTTTTAATTTAAAAAACTGCTAAGATTTTGAAAATGTGCAGGCTAGCTGAACTCTCCATATTGGACGTCCCAAATGTTAAGTAGCTATTAACTAATATAATTCATAATCCATTTTAATTCAAAATTGTATGTACGTAATATTAACTAATATAATCCATCAGTTATATCTTAACTGCAGTGCAATTGATCTGCACTATTGTTGTTGTCAGTGCAGCCTTCTCCCTATTGGCATTGGCATCTACAGTATAAAGATAATGTGCCTTGAATTACCTTAAAATGTCATTAAATAGTTTGATATGATAATATTAAGTATTCATACAACAAGTAAATATAAATTGCCTGTTTAAATTTTGTAAACTAGTAAAAATGTGGGATAACAGAGCCACTGTCATAAAGGGTGATATTGTGGTATAACATGAAACTTTTTTTGCTGAAGAACAAAAGAGATTTCCTCACTTCAGCTCATATATAGAGGGTCTGCAATGGGTCTTCTTTTTTGTGTCACACTGTCACTTAATTACCACCATGTGATATGCTTTAAAATGGCTTTTATCTTTCTTATACTGAATGACATTCATTCATTTAAAAAAAACACCATATTTTTTGTCATACTGCACATTGCTGCAGCTCCTCTTTTCACCCTGTGTGTGAAGGCTTCGGTTTAGCTATGGAGTGATGCATCCTGTCTCTAAATGATCATTGGTGGGAGTTGCACATGCGCAGTTCCTAGTTAAGGACTACTAGCCAATCAGAAGCAGAGAATGCGGGTCAGCGAGAAGTAAACACGGCTTCGGTTAAGCTATGCATGGTGCCGACCAGCTTGGCAACATAGACTGGAGCTAGAGTTTCAGAGTGGTGAGTTATTAATCTGTAACAAAAGTATCTTTCATCCAAGTTTTAACTGAGCTCTGTCTCTACATCACAGTAACAACTTTATGTCCATTGACTGCCTGGAGGGTAGCTAGTGTTTGGAAGGGAGAGGAGTGTGCTCAGTGTTTTTCCACAGGTGTTTTTGAGGGCGTGCCGGACTAGCCGCTTGGCGAGCATTATGTGAGGCACATTTAGCTTTCATCCCTGTAACGTCACAGGGATGAAAGGGAAGCTGCTGGACTACAAACCAGCTGTTTTCAGTCAATTCAGAGCAGAGTTTACTGTGGGAGATGGGAACTCCCTTTGGGCAGGACTTTGGGCTTTTTCACTTTGCAAAACAATTACATGCACAAAAAAGGTATATAACTCAATAAAGGAGAGGGAAAACACTAAAAAGCATAATACCACCTCTTTAATCTAAATATTGTACTGATAGAACCATTTAGTTGTTATTAGGCTTCCATATTGTTACCAAAATATAACTAGAACTGCAAGCAGTTGTAAGCAGGGTCCATGACCCCCGGCGCCAGCCCGCCCCATGGAGGCTGTGCAAGTTGACCCTGGCGAATAAACGACCATAATTTGAAATTAAAGGGACTTGCGTTTGTTTTTTGTTAGCTTATAATTGGGATATTTTGCGGCTTGGTCCAGAGATTGTCTTAATTATTGGATTGGAGTTAATTAAAATAGGTTTTACAATTTTTTTGCAAAATGAAAATGTCATTGCACGTTGTATAGCCGTGTCCTATACCATGCGAATCCACCCTATCCCCCAAACACGTACACATAAGGTGTGCGATGTACTGGTGTGTAGTTACGAGGCAAAATGTGCCTTAGTTCCAAATCCCATTAAAATGAATAGGATTTTCCCAAGGTATTTGAGCTTCGATTATAGCGCCACCTTTAGGCCGAATTGCACCAGTTTTCAGGTGTCATCAGGGGCCCATGGAGAACAATTGCCCCAAATTTGGTATCAATCGGACTTGTGGTTATGGAGATATAAAATGCATGCATTTTTTTTACTTCTTTAATCTTCAATAACAGCACCACCTATGGGCCTATTTGGTTCAACTTTGGTGCCTGGAATCCTCCTCCATCCATCCTGAACAATTCGGCTCAAGTTTCATGTCAATGTGACTTGTGGTTATAGAGGAACATATTTCTAAGATTAAATAGCGGCACCTAGGGGCTAGTTTCACCAGCTTTTGAACAAGCCCTCAGGGGGGCATGCCACATTATCGCTCATTAAGTTTGGTGTCGATCGTCCATTCCAAACCTTTTCACAAACATTTGTTAGCTTATAATTGCAACATTTTTTCATAGATCAAAATTTCCTCGGAGTTCCGCGTCTGTAGCACTTACCGTAGGCCGCAGTATGAGTTTTAGGCGAAAATGTACGGAAGAAAAAATTATAAAACAAATCTGTTCCCCTCTTACTACCAAGACTTAAGACTCGAGCAGCCTACACGACTTTCAGCGTTGGCAGATCGCCGTGCTGTTCAGACTACACAACATCCCGTCTTGTGACGGGAGTCTTTATAGTTCACACATAACAACTGGCCAATTGATTGCTGATTTACCCCCGATCACAGCCCGACGGTCGTGAGGCCGGTGACTGGCAAATCGGGCCTAAAATCGTGCATTGTGAACTAGGCTTTAATGGTTGTGTTTCAATCTACATATTAAATTGGTGATTATTAGCACCTGTTTGGTAAAATTATCTAATCATTATACACCTGACATTATGACTACAAAATCCCTGACTTTGTGCAAGAATTGATGCAGTTTTGAAGGCAAAGGGTGGTCACACCAAATACTGATTTGATTTTTTGTTAACCTATGAACAAGCACTTAGCGACACAGGCAAGGAAAAACTTATTTTTAGAAGGTAAAAAACTTGAACAGAACCATGAATCAGGGTGGGTGGGAGAAAGAGGGAGAGAGAGAGAAACAGTGAGTGACTCAGCAATGGGATGCCCAGGAGAGGAAGGCGCTGCAGCGGGTGGTTAAAACCATCCAGAAGGTCATTGGTACCC